TTCAAAGGTCGTTAACCCCTCGCCTTCCTCATTTCTATGGGCTTCCTAAAACCATAAGCCGGCCGTGCCTCTACCGCCCATCATCTCCTCCCGGGATCGGTGACGCATCCTCTGGCGGCTTGGCTGGCTAAGTCTCTCACCCCCTTCTCGGCACCTTCTCTCCTGCTCACCTTCGCCATTCACAGGACCTCATCTCCCGTGTCCGCGGTGTCTCGCCGGCGTCAATGCTGAACCTGGATGTCGATTCCCTGTTCACCAAGGTCCCGCTTGATGACGTCCTCGCTTTCCTTCAGAGGAAGCTCCCTGCCGAGGATCCTCGTCTTCCTCTTCCCACCGAAATCTTCCTCCAGCTGATTCGTCTGTGTGTGGAGTCGAATTCCTTCTCCTTTGAGGGTCCGTTTTTACTCACACGACGTTCGGTATTGCCATGGGCTCTCCTCTCTCCCGGTTCTGGCTAACTTGTACATGGATTCTTCGAGTCGGAGCTCCTCCCCTCCATCTCCCCTCGTCCTCCATGTGGCTGAGATATGTCGACGACGTCTTCGCTCTCTGGCCACATGACCCTGCCCTGTTTCCTGATTTCCTGTCGCAGCTGAATTATCTCTCTCCGTCCATCCGCTTCAAGGTGGAATGGGAGGTTGACGACAAGCTCCCTTTCTTGGACACTCTTGTCCATCGCTCTGCTGATCATTTCTCCTTTTCTATATACAGGAAACCTATGCACAGTGGTAAGTACATATACTTCTCGTACCATCCACTGCATGTGAAGAGAGGGGTTGCCACCGCGCTGTTTCTTCGTGCCCTCCGCATCTGTGACCCCTAGTACCTGGATGGAGAGAACCGACTTCCTGCGGCCGTTCGTTCTCCAAACTGGGCTTCCTCGCGCCATCCTCTAGACGTCGCGTTATCCAGGGCGCGACGCACCTTCTACCATGACTCCCCTCCCCAATGAGTCTCCTCACCTGCCTGTCCTCAGTCTGCCTTACACTGCGGAGATCTTACTCCCTCCGTCGGCCCCTGCAGTCTCTCAACTGGCAGACTCTCCTTTCGCCAGGTGAATACCCTCCGTCGTAACCTGGTTCACCACCTTGCCCTCCCTCTACCTCGAAGGTGGGGCCTATGCTGTTCCGTGTGCCTTCCTGTGGATAAGCAGTATTTTGGTGAAACAGGCGCCAGTCTTACTAAGCGTCTGTCTCAGCATAAGTATGCTGTATCCAGGGGACATAACAACAACGCCCTCTTCTGCCATCAGTGGGACACTGGCCATCAGATGGACTGGAAAGCAGCACGCATTCTCTTCCCTTCCGCTGATGTCCATGCCCGCAGACTGGTGGAATCTTCCTTGATTAAGCTGCTGCCCAATTTCAACCTGAACAGCGGTTTTCTCCTCCTGACAGCCTCTCGCTTCACAGCCTCGTTCTTCCTCCTCCCTTATGCCGGCCAACCGTCACATAGACCGCCTGATCCTTCGACCTAATCTGACCTCCCCTTCCTCTCCGTTCTCCTGTCCTCACCTGCCCCGTGGTTCCCGAGGCTTCTCCTCCTTTCCCTCTTATACCGCTTACTCTCCCTTGCCTCTTCAGACCCGAGATGGAATCGAGGACGACGATTCCGAAACTGTTGTCTCACTTTCATCAATTAAATCTAGTTTGTGCATTGTGGGTTTTTTCTATCCATACATAGATATATATATACATAGATATATATAGATACATACACACACACACACACATACACACACACACAACACACACACACACACATACACAATATATATATATATATAATATATATATATATATATATATATATAATATATATATGATATATATATTGCTTGACCATTGTTTAAATGTCATATGGATATTATTTTCTTGAACATCCATACATCATTTTATATAATCCGTTTAAAGTCTCAGTAAACCAATATTTCCCGATGTTAAGTCCACTACAAAACAGAACTTTTTGATGGCAGATTTAATTCAATTTGAAATACCACAAGCCTCCTGTCTTCCTACACCTAATTGAAAAGAAATACTTTGAACAATAATCCTGAGCAAAAACGCCCTATCTCGATGACTTTACAATGAGGTCGGCCTTCATGCATGCAGTGCACTCGAGATTAAAGAATTGTTACGAAATCGCTTATCACTTAATGATTATGAAGTAGGAGAATGAGAGCGTTACACACACAGGCATGATAATTAAATGAATACACACAAACACACACACACACATTATACATAGTATAGTATATATATATATATATATACTATATATTATATATATATATACTACTATATATATATATAATATATATATATATAATATATATCATATTATATTTACATATATATATATTATCATAGTATTTTTTATATATATACATGTATTATATCATATAGTATATATAATATATATATAATATATATAATAATATTTTATATACTAATATATATATATATTATATATAATATATATAATATCATATATATATATATCTATATATATATATATATATATATATATATATACAAATACATACATACAGTACATACATACATNCACGTGTCGCCGTCATTTCCTTATATATCACGCGGCGGAGCGCGGTGTAGCCAGACAAGAGGAAGGTAGTTAAGGCCGAAAATGATATCACGACGACTGCGACCGAAGAGCGATAGAAAGACTTCCCTCTCTCACCGAAAGGGAAGTAGATGAAAGGGGAAAACACGTTGACGTAAGAACAGGTGAGCGAGGGTGATGAGATAATGCGGAGTGCGACCCCACGCGCAATGGTCGCCCTGCGATATTTTTTTGTCACGGGGTCACGCCGCGTGCGAGGCCCATGACAAACAAGTTTATCATTCTTTTATCACTCTGCCTCAACTGAGAATAAATCAAAATCATATAGAGAGACCAAGACGCGGCGAATGGACACGGAATAGTGGGCCGAAAACAACTCGAGCAACATATCGATACACGGCCAAAAAGGCGATAGGGAGATCCCAGTCGAGGTCCAAAGTATTAGACATGATTCATAGCCGAAAACAGAATGGCGAAAGATAAAAGATAAAAGTCGACAGCCATCCCCTCCAGCACTCGGCCGCCCCGGTCGGGCTAACGAGAGAAATTCCGGAATCTTTGTTACTGCTTCGAAAGGCCGGCGTGACCGGACTAAGGAAAGCTTCACAGTGTTCGCAGGACCAGAACATGGCTCCTGCCAGGCCAACCAACTGCCATCTTCATTCTCGACGAAATAAACAGGCTAACCCGCACTAGGCCTTGGTAGCTCGCATCCCTGGTGCTCTCCCCTCCAGCTAACCGGCGGTTATTCTTCCAATCTGACTCCGTCTCCGTTCTCGGTCTCCTTCCCTCACGTGACACACAACTTTGGAGCCCAGGCATCTCCTCTCTCTGTCTCGATTTCATCTAACTCATTCTCTATCTTCCTCGCCTCCCTTTCCCACGCAGATTTTCTCTCTCTCTCGTATTTGAAGCTTCATTATCATTAAGCTCTCTAGACAGAATGTTCTCCCGGCGGTGCCAAAGTCTGTTCAGTTCCCGACGGGAAAGTGCCCGAAGCTGTCACCGCCACAAATCTTGCTATTGGAGATATCTCTCCAGGCGCTCATTTTCCCCTACTTCCTACTTGAAACACATTATCCTTTTTCTTCCAGAATGTGTGTGTGTGTGTGTGTGAGAGAGAGAGAAACAGCGAGAGGGAAAGAGAGAGACAGGGAGAGGAGAGGAGAGAGGGAGAGGGAGAGGGAGAGGGAGAGGGAGAGGGAGAGGGAGAGGAGAGGGAGAGGGAGAGGGAGAGGAGAGGAAGGGAAAGGGAAAGGGAAAGGGAAAGGAAGAGAGAGAGAGAGAGAGAGAGAGAGAGAGAGAGAGAGAGAGAGAGAGAGAGAGAGAGAGAGAGAGAAGAGAGAGAGAGAGGGGGGGGGGGGCAGGAGGTACGGGGACGACCAAGAGGGAGAGGGAACCCACGTCGTAAGAGGTCGTCCGAGTCAAAGGTGAAAGGGTATAACACGTGCAAGAGAATAGTTCCTCGAAGGACTGTAAACGTGACATAAAATTAATCATGCGTGCATATCTCGTTCGTTATATTTGTTGACTACCATTGTTATCCAACACATAACTGCGTGATAAGGCCGTTCGGTTCCAAAGAAAGTTAGTCTACTGTTTGGCGATTATTCAACTTTTTCATTGCTTATCTCAAAGACTGGGGTGGAATGGTAAAGTTGTTTTCATTATGTTTTCCCGAAGCACCTAAAAGCAAACAAACCAGCCAGCGAGGCCCAGTTGGCTCGCCTCCCAAACGGTGTATGGGCGGACAGGCGGCGGGCGAAGGGGACTATCCACAATTACGGTAGACGGGCCGCGCCACGTGACTCCTCACGTGAGCCCATTGACCCCGCGAGGAATGCGAGAGCGCTTTTTCGGTGCTTGGGGGGTGCATCTCGCAGGCAAATGTTAATGCCTACAGGTATGGAGCCAAATGCGAAGATGTTTGGTGCTTAGTAGCATCATGTGCATGGAAACCCACGTGCGGCGGCCAGGTCACGTGTGCCGCGCCCAACCTCACGCTGCTTTGCCATATTTCAGCTACGTTGCCAAATCGTAACCCATATAATGAAAATGGAAAGTGACAACTTTAATGATTAACCTAAGTTGATGTTCATTCGTGATACAGTAAATTGATAACTATATATTAAAAACGAAGGGTGTTAAGCTGCGAAAAAATAAACACATTTCTTAGGTTTGAACTGCAACCATAGCGACCTCTGGCAACTTCCCGAGGCCACAGATACCAGGTGATTTGGCAAGATGAGGATACTAGAGTTTATCCTCGATTTTAATTTATTGTGATTTATCCACCGCCTTCATATGAACTCAATCCAAGTGGCAACGAAGACGAAAGGGAACAGCAGCATCTGCAAGTGCGTTGTTTTCGTCCCCGAGTTTTATCAGAGGGAAAGTGTAGGTTTTGGTCGGGCGGTCTCAGAGTGTGGAGCTGCACGTGACCAAGTCCCACACGCACACACGTACACACATACACAAACGCACACTCTGGGTCTCTACACATACAGACACGCGCGCACGCCCATTGCTGCTTCAGTCGCTTTCCACACGTCTTGGTGGAAACATGGGAGACTTTATCTCTTACAATGTTAACCTGTTGTGGTTTCAAGAGTAAGTGAATCCTCACAAGAAAGATATTTAGAGACAGTGAAATACGTGATTATTTTCTTGGTGTTTACTTTTGATAAGCAACTTGTGTATGTATACTTTGAAGCAATCAGTTTTATTAATGCTTTTCCTCAGAAAAGTGAATGAAAAGGATTATTAATAAAAATTGGGAATTTCATTTTCAACAAAATACTTACAATTGCCTTTGCTTTGAAAAGGATCTAATGAAACTATTCCAGTTTGAAAACGTGATAGTAGAGTAAGTTTCGAAGAATCCCAGTCAGCTGAAAGAAAAAATAGACCACACATTTGGCCATACCAGTCCCGTGTTGGGGAATTGCATATAGAAGCGTGTCGCGCGACTAAAAGCAGCGTCCGCCAGCGTGTGCCAAGGACCCCGAACCTCGGCCTCGATGTCCTCGTGACGTGCTCTGTTTGCAAAGTGCACTGGTCTACGCCCAGAGAAAACAAGCAATACAGAATAAAGAGCGTGGATGCTGTGGAAAGTGTGTGTGCCTAAGCAGGAGTGATATCCTTTCTGAGACCGCTGCCTAGTTGAGGCATGGTAGTGTAGTCGCCGAAGTAGTGTTTGGATGTTTCCGTGTGACGGCTTGACCTCCAGTGGCGGGCAGCGGTTATCGCTCCCTCCCCGGGCGAGCCTCGGCGCCTTCACTCCCCCCAAGCACTTTGCCCATCACCAACTATCTCCTCTTTGGGACCAAGGCTAAACGAACGTCGAACTGAGGACAGCGGCCGCCACCCTCTCTCGCGCCCCCCCTGGTGATGGCGGCGGCGGTGAAGGAGGAACCTGAGGCCCCATACAGCCTCTCTCTTCTACTCGGCGATCGCAACCCCAGGTGCAGACCCATGACAGCTTCCGCTCTCGGTGGGCCTCCGCCGACGCCCCAGCATCAGCAGAACATCCATCCCCAGACCCCGAATTCCATTCAGCAGCAAAACACGCCTCATCAGCAACAAAATCAGCAGCAACAACAGAATCAACAACAGCAGCAACAACAACAACAACAACAACAGCAACATCAGCAACAACAGCAGCAACAGCAGCAGCAGCAGCAGCAGCAGCAGCAGCAGCAGCAATTACCAATGACGGGTGGGCCATTCGAACGAGTGCCAGCCCATTCGCCTTCAGCCATGGCCCCATCGGAGGCCTCCAAGAGGCATCCCTCTCCCAATAAACCTCCAGCTAATGTAAGTTTCGTCTCACTTCCTACTTGGACAAAATCCTGCTTTATTTTTATAATTTTATAAACTGAATGGTAACTATGAAAGTTAGATACTGCATTAATTACGTTACTGCATACTTAGTATGCGAAAAACTTCAAGGGGCATCACAGAGAATTATAAATACATGTGCATACACACGCATACACCCCATCTGTGCAGAGACTTAATCTTGCTCTAAAACGAAAAGTTGTAAGATGTGAAGTAATACTTCTTGCATTTAAGCTCAGAGGGAGATTAGTTGGTAGCCACGTGTAATCTCAAATACCCAAGCTTTTTTTTTAATACGATTACAGGCCAGATGTGACCTATTTTAATGCTAAAGCTTTTATCAGTGAATCGTGACCTTTGTTACTATTGACCAAATATACGTCAGATAACAGTCTATACTTGGCTTAGTCTAGTGATTTCTGTGGGTTGGTTGTACAAGATAATTGAGAATATAGTTATTCTTCGCTCCATTAGTGCGGCGCCGCCCTTTCGAAAAATAACATCTAAACGGAGCTCTGCTAAAACACGTGACTGTTTTTGCTGGCGCTGGGTGTAGCAAGGGCTTGAGCTCGCCTGCACCCACGGATCCTCACAGTCACAACCGTTCACAGAAGTTGCAAACAAAACTAAGACGTTAGTAGAGGAATACTTGATCAATACTTTGTGGTATATTTTGTCTAATCTAGTTATTCTTTTATATAACAGTGCTGCGAATGAAAAAATAATCAACTGTTTACATTTACTATTATATGATTTTTTGTTGTTGATGCCATTTTGCATGGGTTCAATGTCGAAAATACATGAAATATTTTTTTTTACTATAGATCTCACGATAAGCAAAAATGGTCTATGCAGCAGTGTATTTCTTATTATTCTCTTTATTTATTTATTTGAACACACACACACACACACACACACAC